GTGACCTTAATGTGTGATTCAGGGGTGATATTGTAAGGAGAAATTAGATGCTGGTCACTCTTAGAGATCAAAGGGCTAAACCAGTGTATTCTCAGGTTTAAAAACTGTGGCAAGAGTACATTGAAAGGTTGTCTTCAATCTATACATTTCGCTCACAACACAATCTTATTACGGGTGTAACTGTAACTTTGGCTACTACATGTATTGACTTAAGTTCCATAAAATTTTGAAAAGTACGGTTAATGCCTAAATGAAAATTGCCAAGTCGTTAGTAACATAACTTTCTATTTACCTTATGTGTGATAGCTACTATCTGATCTGAAGTCCAGAGGTTCTGAAATGGATAAACTGGAAGAAAGATTAGAGGTATTGTGAAATATTACAGAACCATTGGAAAATTGATGGAAATATTTACTGGACCGCATTTTTTACCTTGTCTTAAAGTTCTCCTAGTTCCAAAAATCCTGGAAAGATATTGAAAGCCTTAAAAACCAAAAATATGCCCATTACATGCCTAACTGTCTATTCAAATTCAAATGAAAGGTGGAAAGGAGACAAAAGAGGATCTCCCTTTCAAGTTTGTCACCTAAAATATGTAGTTAAAAACGTAAATTTACTTCTGAATAAAATTCACGATAAAATGATTAAAAAATTTCCAAACACATTAGTAAAATGGCATCTGAGTCTGTTCTTGAAAATGTACAGAGTTTCTGCCCCCGCAACGTCTTTAATAGGTAAACTATCCTATTCATCGACTTTATAAACTATACCGTTATCAAAATACAAGAGACCAAGACCTGTGGAAAGATATGCTTTTGTTTTTGACTGCAGGAAAAGTTGGCCATTGGAGGAAAAATTTTGATTTACTCCTGTCCATCATTATGGCTTTCCATAAATTTTAATGATGCGTAGTAGACATTGATCTAAGGCAAAGTACGGGAAGACGCATATTAATAGTGTGAGTTGCAAACTGTAGGAACACAGAGTCAAGATACAGGACTTGGAAGGTGGAAAGAAAGCGAGAGATGATCGCATCCGAGGGCTGGAGAGTCAAAAAAGAGCTTTGATCGAGAAGAGTGATTTGATGCAGGTATTTGGCCTTGTGGATTGTTGTACCATACAGGTATCAACAAGGGTGGCAAGGGGAGAGGGGATGGAGGATCTTGTCCCCGTTTCACGCACGAAGTTTAGAAAAATTCACGCGTCAAAAACTTTAAATTTTACCTTACCTTGCTTTTCTGTAAAATTCACGCCTCATGTATAGTTTAACAGTTTTTCACGCGCCACGAATGTAAAAGGGAAAACTTCGAATTCCTTACCTTGCCTTTTAAAAGTTACACGTTGCATATTAATTTTGGGCGTTATCACTTATACTGTCAGGTATAATCGCGTATACTATCACGCATGATTACGTATAAATCCATTGCCGCCCTCGCCCTCAGCATCCTGTAAATCAATTAACAAATGGTAAACACCACAGCGTACACTATTGAGTTATGGATGCACGCGGGAGGTTGCTAAGCACGAAAGAAGCGTAAGAGTCGCTCGAGGCGATAGCCGAGAGCGACTCTAGCTTCTTGAGTGCTTAGCAAACCTCCCAAGTGCATCCATAACTCAATAGTGTACGCTGTGGTGTTTACCATTTGTTTTATAACATAACATTGATACATTGTAGCTAAAGAGTTCCCTTTTATTTAAC